GGGCAGATTCCTAGATACATACGAATTGCCAAAGTTAAATGAAGAAGATATAGAAATTCTAAATACCCCAATTACAATGAATGAAATTGAAAATGTAATAAAATATTTACCAAGAAAGAAAAGCCCAGGTCCGGATGGCTTCACTGCTGAATTTTACAAGACATTTAAAGAAGAACTAACGCTATTACTCTTTAAACTCATCAAGGAAATTGAAAGGGAAGTAGTACTTCCAAATTCATTCCTGGACGCAAGTGTTACTTTGATTCCAAAACTAGGGAAAGACCCAACCCAAAAAGAGAACTACAGGCCAATCTCCCTGACCATATCTTTGTAGTCTCATTAAATCTTCTGCCGCTTACCCTGAGCATGCTGCTGCTGGGATCCTGGATGTTTTACTTGTCAGTTGTAGAAACAAATAAGCAAAAGCACATTCTGCTTTCAGCTTAGGGACACGGGGGCTCTGGCCTGACCTGCAGCCTCTGTTAAAGTGGCACTGATTGCATTCTGCCAGCTGATACAAGAGCTGTAGTTGGAGACCAAGAAAGCCCTGAGAGCTACTTGTTAATCATTTAGGCCTTGGAATAAATTTGGAGGTATTGTCTAGAGATCTCTGAACTGTGCACACCTTTGGCAGGATTAGAAATACCTTTCTGGGGTTTAAGCAATGTGTAGAAGCAATTTGGTCAGAGGTCAGTGACAGAGAAAACTTGCTGCCTGTTGTTTTCATGTAATTGGACCTTGACTACATTTTTTTCCTGCCTATGATTCATTAATTAACCTTTGAAGTAAGATTTTCTCCACCCACTTTCAGATTTAGGGATGTTTTAGTCAGATGTTATTTTACATGATTTGCTACACATGGAGATGCATAATGGTAAAGCTGTGGGCTTGGACACCAGATGGACCAGCCTGATTTGCCCACAGATTGTAAAAATAATAGAACCTACATTTGGTGCTTTCTATGTGCTGTGCACTGTTGTAAGTGTGTAACATGTGAACGCATTTACCCCTGAACACACTCTTATGAGGTAGACGAATCTTATTGTCCCCCTTCTGTGGATGAGGGAACTGACACATGGTGGGGTTCAGGAACTTTGGCAGAGACCCTTGGCTGGTAAATGGTAGAGCTGGGAATGAGATCCAGGAGTCGCTCTGGAGTTTATGTCCTGCCCCTCAGGCCAGGTGGTTGTGCCCATAACCTACAAAGCTCTGTGCCATTGGATATAGCAGGGTTGGATTTGTGTTTTTTTGGTACCAGGGATCGAACTCAGGACCTTGTGCTTTCGAGGCAGGTGGCAGAACCACTGAGCTAAATCCCCGGCCCTAGGGTTGGATTTTTAATGCACTTGTTCGTAGCGGGATTGGGTTTTTAGTGGGTTTGTTCATTGGTCTTTCCACCCATTCAGCAGCCATGAATTAGTGCTGACCATCGCAGGTGCTGTGCCTGTCTCCAGGGCTGTGTGGCTTGTAGAGACCTCACCCAGAGGAATACAGGCTCTGCCTCAAGCGGCTGAGAGCTGATGAGGAAGGGGTGACCCTTTACCACCCTGGAAAACAAGTCAGAAATGCCTAGAGGCTCAGGAGGGTCCTTAAACAGGAAGGGTGGCACGTGCACTAATCGTAGCTTCCTTGAGACCTCTGGAAGCCGACTTAGGTACCACTGTTTGTCATATGTCACTTCTTCTGGCGACAAGGTCTGAAACAGTGAGCCACAGTTTGCCATTTGTTTTTAGGTCGTATATTTAATTAGTCATAGTGAAGACTAAATTTAATGAAGCTCTGAAGCTTACGTTGCCTTTCCTGTTTTAGTTGTTGCTGGAAGTGGAGAGTGAGTGAGATGAGTCAAGGTGTCTGTGCCCTGAAAGTGAAAATAAGCCTGGCAGGAGTATTACTACTCTGCGGTGCTAGTTAAGCCACCTAAAGCCTTGTTTACTGAAGAGGTGAGCGACTCTGGTTCCTTACCAGCTAGCCTCAGTCCCAGGTCTTGTCTTTCCAAGTAACCTTTCCTACGTGGGACCAAAGCAGCTGATTCCATGGAGCTCTAGACCAGCTACACCTTTGCTCTCTACCTGTGATTTTCAGATTTATTTTTAAAAACATTCTTTTTCTGCTCTTAGGAAGCATTTGCTACAGGTGATTATGATTCAGGTATTTTGCTCCCTCTCTGCACATATTCTAGGTCAGACCAGTGTTTCTGAGTGTACTTTTTCTCCTGGCTTTTTGTTCCCAACAGCTCTTTTCCATATGCTGGGTTTTGTTCCTATCTTTTACTCAGCAAACAGTTGGGTACTGTGTGTGCCAGGCATTTTGCAAGCTACTGAGGATACAGAAATGAGTGAGGCAGTCTTTACCCTTAAGGACATCACTATTAGTGGGGACTGAGGTGTTAGGCAGGTGAACATTGTGCTGGGAAAGGTACAGAAGTAGAGGTGGAGTGAGGCGGCCACTTCCTGTCTGACATGGGAGGTGTGTGAGCAGAGGCGACAGGTGCTCAGTGTTCAGATACATAGGAATGGACTGTGCACACATGAGCTGCTGCCTCACCACCATTCACTTCTAGTCTTCAGGCCTCGTGCTCATTTCTCCCTCTTATCTCCTCAGCCTCCTTGTCTTTCTCATCTCTCTGTGCTCTTAGGTGACTCAAGACCGGCCGCTGATCTTGTATGCCTCTCAGGGATGAATGGCAGCACCCTGTGGTCCAGTCCCCTCCCAGAAGAGGCCCAGGATATCACATGTTTGGATCTGATGCCAGGTAGCAGGGCTGAGATCATCTGTCTTGTGACTGGGACACGTAAGATGCTCAGCGCATTCAATGCCACCACAGGTGAGGATCATTGACCACAAAGGATCTTTGTTGTAATGAATGATAATGTGGAATTCTGACAGGCTGGTAGGGAAGGGACTTTCCTACTGTGGCAGGATGGAAAGTCTGATTTGCTACCCAGCAGGTGGTTATTAAGGGGCTAAGATAAGAGGTTTGGGCAGATTGAGTAAATCATGTTTCAGCCTGTTTGGTGATAAAATGGGGCGAAACTCAGAAACTAGCCTGAGGCCTTTGGTTGTGAATTGTCTCCCTGCTCTGTAGAAAGGACAGATGAGCTTTGTCCCTTCCCATTTGATATAATATATGTGGGGTCAGTCCTTGCAGAAACATAGGTATTGACTACTTAAAAATATTTCTTTATGAAGAAACAAAGGCTTGTTGAGGCATGTTGATTTGGCCTTTCAGCTTCTTACTGCATTTAGGTAAGAAAAAAGGAATGAAAAACAAATGTACAGAAGCCTTCTTACAGAATCAAAAGGACCCTGCCAGTGCGCCGGTTGCTACCCGGGCAAAAGCTGACCACTGTGCTTGTGCCTGCAGCCCCAGCTACTTATGGGGCTGAGGCAGGAGGGTCACTTAGCCCAGAGGTTCAAGACCAGACTGGGCCACCTAACAAGATCCTGTTGCAAAAACAAACAAACTAAAAAACCAAAATAAAACAAAGAACAAAAGGGGTAAAGTAAGGACGAGTTGCTGCCTGTTGTTCAGCCCTTTGGATTTTGCTTTGTGTCTGCCCTTTCCAGGGGTGGAAAGCCACACTAGTGATCACTCTCTTTGTCCTGCCCTAGGGAAGGCCATCTGGACTCTGAGCCCGGACTCCCTGTCCAGTGGCACCCTGGCTGCCCCTGCGGTGGTGCTGCCGGACTTGGACGAGGATGGTGTTAGAGACCTCGCAGTTCTGGCCATCGGGGAAACACAGGTGTGGTCTCCACTAACCGGTTTTTGTCACTTACAGAGAGAACTTTACTTTTAGTTATCTCAGTTCCTGATGTCATAATTGTTTGAAAGTTCTTTTTACAAAAGATGAAGTTTAAATAACTTCTCTTGGTGAGGTTAAGCAACTAAATGAGCATTGTGAACCCATTTTCCCAGCAGTCTCATTACAGTTCCGGGGACTGTGGTGTAGTGAGCTCTGGATGTACACGGGGCTGTGTCTACCACCTTGGGTGAACCACGGAACCCACCCAAGCTCTGGTTTCCTCATGTGCCAAACATGGGACTGTTACATCTGGTTGTGGGATTGGTATGAAAAGTAGAGTCGGACACACTTTAGGTTCCTAGAGTAGAGCCTGCTTTTTATATTTTTTAATGTATTGTTAGTTTTACTATATTAAATATATTTGTTTTATTTCAACTGTAAAATAATAGGACTGTCTGATAAAAAGTTCATAAAATATATATAGAAAAAAATCTAAGTCAAACAATAGCATCACTAATCAAAGAAAAGAGAGTTATAGTCTATCCTGTGACAAGACAGACTGATTCCAGTACAGAGGCCCTTAAATGATCATCCTGCTAGCTGCCTAAATTCACAGCATTCTGGGAGGCTGAGACAGGAGGATTGCAAGTTCAAGCCAGTCTGGGCAACTTAGTGATTTAGCGAGACTCTGTCTATAAAAAAAGTGTAAGGGCGTCTGAGAATATAGCTCAGAATGAAGGTCCTGGTTTCAACCCCCAGTACCACAAAAAGAAAAAAATCATCCTATTAATTGTGGAGCTAGTCATTCTATATACAGCTACAGTGATACTAGTATTCTCTCCAAATTGCAGGAAAGACAACATTAGTGAACAATCATCTCAGTTTTAAGTTTTTGGTCCTGAAGCACTTTTTTTTGGTCCTGAAGCTTCATATATATATATATTTTTGGCCATGTTGTTCAGGCTGGTCTTGAACTCACTACTTAGCCCAGGTTGGCCACGAACTCACATCAATCTTCCTGCCTTAGCCTCCCAAGTGCTGGGATTGCAGGCATGTGCTACCACACCTGGCACTTTTATAGCTCTGTTAAAGTTTTTCTAAGACATTTTTCTCAGACTGCCTAATCAGCCAAGGAAATGCTTATGGACTAAAAAAATTGAACAAATGGCAAAATGAAAAATGTGGATATAGAAATGTAGGAACATGTGAATACAGATAATTTTGCCTCATTTGATAGCTGATTTTAATTTTAAAACAAAAGACTTTGTGGATACTTTCTGTTGGTTTTCTTCAACAAGCTGTTTGGTCTGGAAGTGGACCAGAACCAAGAATTTAGGAATTATTCATGTAATTTTTTTTTAATATCCTAGCCATTGTGAGTAAAGGGACAAGTCTAGGGAAAATTTCAAGTATTACCTCAAGCACGGAGAGATTTTCTAAAAGTCTCAAAGAGGAAAGGCTGGGGAATTTCTTTCTAATGGAATTCTAGTCAGCACAGGCAGAGCAAAACATTGAATACACTTTTATACCCTGAACAAATTTAAAGTCTTGGTCTTAATACCCCATCTCCTCCTTGTTGGTGGTGGTCAGGGGGTTTAGGGTTCAGGCCTTTAGGCAATACCCCACAGTAAGGGGCTTCCATTGGAAGAATCAGCTTCTCATCTGCTCTTAAGTTGCTAGTGCAGTGCCCAGCTCGCCTGTCAGAACTTACTCTTAGCACAGTGGTGTACAGCTATGGAATACTCTCCATTCTGCCTGACAAGTGACAGCTCTAGAAAATTCTTGGAGAGATGATGGGTTTGGAGCAGCAGCTTCATCATTGTTCTGACCTCTTTGCCCTTTTTATCATCAGCAGAGAACCTGAGGATGTATTTAAGCTGCACTCATGGAAGATGTTCTCTTCACAAGGAGGGAAACAGATGAGGGCTTTGACTTAGAGCCAAACTTGGGGCAACTGGGCCTGGTTTGGGATTAGTGGATGGATGTGGCTGAGGATGTCGAGGGAAGGGACTGTAGAAGCCAGTGGTTGCTATTCTCACACCATGGTGTGGTCTGAGTCTGGTTCCAGATACAGGGCTCCCAGTTCCTCCTTGAGCATGTGGGCTGATGCGAATGTCACTCATTTGTGAGGCAGCTGTTTCATTTTTGGTCAGCTCTAGAAAATTCTGTGCTATTGATGAGAAATGGTTTTTTTTTTTGGTACCGGGCATCGAATTCAGGACCTCACACTTGCCAGGCAGGCCCTGTACTGCTAAGCTATATTCCTGGATGAGAAATATGTTTTCTTCTAGCTTTTTTTTTTTTTTGGTACTGGGGATCGAACTTGGGACCTTGTGCTTTTGAGGCAGGTGGTGGAACCACTGAGCCAAATCCCGGGCCTTGAGAAATGTGTTTTCTAATAGCCTCTACTCACTGTTCCAACATCAGTGCCATAGAGCCTCTCTACATGAGTCTACTTCCCAAGTATAGGAAAGCCCTGTGGCCATTGGCCTGGTCCCTTTAATCCTATGACATTTCCTTATTCTGTTCCTCCATTGCCAGGAAGTTAAAACCTCTTTTTCTTGATTTCTTTCCCTTTGGCTTCTAATTTTTGCAACATTTTAAAATGCAGTGTCACTATTTATAAACAGTAATTTATTCATAGCATAGCCGGTGATATCAGCCTAAGAATATTGTTACTTCTTTTGATCCGGCTCTATGTTTCTATTTATGCAAGAAAAACTTACAATAGCTTTTCTAAGATTTTTGTTTAATAATCAATGAAAGCACCCACAGTTTATAATTGATTAGTGTACCAACTTTTCTTTTTTCAAATTGGTGTATGTTTGCCGTATAGCCATACATAAAATTTATGTTTGTTTTGAAGAATTGGTGGATATATATATATATTTTGATCCCCTTCCCCCTCCCCTCTCCTCTGCGTACCAGTTTTTAAATAGATTTTGATTCATCTTCCAGCCTAAGGCCTCTTTGAATTTCAAGTTTATCATACAGCATAGTAGCCAGATCTCCTTGCTTTGTGATAAACTTGAATTCTATTTATTCAGATCTTTGATAAGAATGTTTAATAGGATTGGGCCAATAGCAGAGTGCTATGTCATTCCATTAAAAACCTTTCTCTAGGTTAGTTTTGACCTTGTAAGTACCTTTTTCTGGGTACCCTGCAAACCATATTTATTTTGTCCCCGAGAATTCACAATGATAAATTTTGTCAAGACAATCAGTATAATTCTTGTATTTCCCAACTGATGACTCTGTCCTCAAAAGAAAAATCCTCAAGGGCTGGGATTAATAAACTGTGGCCAGATTTGGGCTACTGCCTGTTTTTATAAATAAAGTTTTATTGGAATACAGTCATGGCCATTCATTTTTGTGTTATCTATGACTACTTTCATGCTAAAACAGCAGAGTAGAGTAGTTGCTATAGCAACCATCTCACTGGCAAAGACTAAAATATTTTACCATCTGGCCTTTCATGGGAAAGGTTTGCTGGTCTCTGAGAATAGAGTTGACAGTGGCCAGGCCAGACATCCGATGTGATGATGGGGAAGCTCTGTCTGCATTGATTTTGCTTGGGGACAAACATTCCTGAGAGTTTCTGGGAATGGGAGTGGAGACCTGGGGTCAGCTGTATTTTATTTAGCTCTAGGTTAGAATCTTATGCATGAGCAGACTGTGCAACAACTGTGCTCAGAGAAATTGTCTGCAGGACCCTAAGGATGGCTTTTTTTTGGTACCGGGGATCGAACTTGGGACCTTGAGCTCGCGAGGCAGGCACCGGAACCACTGAGCTAAATCCCTGGCCCGAGGATGGCTTTTGTACATGTGGAGTATTTTCCTCACTTTTTACTTCCAGGGAAATAAGAGACAAGGTTGGCTTTGTGCTTCCCACATGAGGAAAATATTTCTGAGCCCTTAGCTGATGAAGAGGTGGTGACTGTCTGGATAAACTGTTTGGCTAGGAGTGGAAAGCTTTTATTGACTTGACCTTTCTTTCATTTCTTCAGCCAGATGTGTGCTTTCTGCTGGTGTCTGGCTGGACAGGGAGCCCAGTGGGCCGACCTGTGAAGTACAGCATCGTGAGAATGGGGAATCTGATTGGTCCCCAGGTTTACAGCACGGCCAGTGGGGCTGTCTACATCCTGTTTGGCTTTGGTAAGAAGCATGGCTGGTTTTCCCTGCTGTTCCCTGCAGATTTGTGTTGCAGCTTGCCTTGTAAGATGAGGTGAAAGCTCTGGGGTTGCAGAGGACCGCCTTTCCGTTCCATCCTGCGCAGGGGTCTGTCTTTCTCCCTTCCTTCCCTATTGTAGGTGGTTAACTCCACTTTCCCTTGCTGCGTTCCCTAGAGAGAAGATTCTGCCCAGCATCCACTTAACCACTTTCCCGCCCACCCCATGTGGGACCAGCCTGAACAGGTTCTGTTAGATCCGCCAGATTGGGCTCTCAGTCTCCTGTTCAAACCCCCATCCTGGGATATTCTGTTAAATTCAGCTTCTCAGTGTTGGTTCTTCCTATGGTGCTAGGAAATGTACAAGCTGTCGCCCTGCGAGACATTTTTGTTCAGGCCCAAAACCGAGACAGCTCACCACCTTCTCTGCAGATAGAAGAGCCAGAATGGGAGAAGCGGAGATCCATCAACCTGTCTGAGCTCATTGACATATACAGGTAGGACAGGTGCCCGTCCTCGGTCCCAATGAGGTCTGTGAGCTCACATGCTGTGGGTCTCTGAGTTTGCATGAGCCAGTGAAAGTGTGGGCAGAGATTTGAGGGAGGCAGTACTGCTCTTAGATTCTCTTCTGGCCTGGGGGACATGAATGAGAAGTTTTCTTTTCTTTGGAGTAATTTTTTCTTTTTGGTACCAGGGATCGAACTCAGGACCTTGTGCTTGGGAGGCAGGCGACAGCACCACTGAGCTAAATCCCTGGCCCTGAAATTTTCTTAGTCACATAAGGTGTTGGTGTCTATGTGTTAGTGACTCTGGTGTGTGATCCCCTCATGTGTGGATTACAAGGAAGAAAATTTGATTAGAGTTCTGAGTCAGTGCCAAGATAGGGAGATAGATTTATTAGAAATGATGGTTTTAATTAAAATCATGGTTTATAAAGCTGTGCAGATGTCTCTGAGCAACTCTTTCTCTATATTTTTGTCTTAGTTGAAGAATCATTTTGACAGAAGCAGACATGACCATGGAACCTTATTTTTAAATTCTTATTTATTTCTAGACTAAAAGCATATCATGGTCCTTTACAGTCCATTTTTACTCATATAACCAAGTGTGAGTAATGATTTTTATTCTTTTCTATCAGAAATTTCAAGTCATTTTCTAAGGGATTATCATGTCTCAGTGAATTTGACAGGTATTAAATCAACTGGTCCCAGTGATTAGAGGAAGAAGTAAGTGTATAATAGCAGTCGCTGTCCAAGCTTATTGACAATCTTAGGCCTCCTATCTCACCCTCTGTCTGTTTTCCATGCCATTATCCTTGGCTGTGTCACTTTTTCTACTGTATCCAGTGTGAGAAGCATTGTACTATAACATGTTTCTTGTGAGTTCCTTTGGAACCTGCGTAGAATTTTCTAGGGGCCTTTGGTTTCTAAGGGTCAAGAAGAAATCAAATGGGAACAACACAGGGTCTCAAGACTATGGTTGGCTCTCTGTATCTATGCACTCCACATTTTTGGATTCAACCAATTTCAGATTGGAAAAATTAGGAAAAATATTGTCTGTACTGAACATGTGCAGGCTTTTTTCCCCTTGTCTTTATTCCCTAAACAGTAGAGTATAACAACCATTTACATAGCATTTACACGGTACGAGGTATTATAAATAATCTAGAGATTATTTAAAGTATACAGGAGGATGTAGGTAATGGAAATATTATGCCGTTGTATGTGAGGGGTGTGAACATCAGTGGATTTTAGTATCTTTGGGGGATCCCAAACCCAAACCCCCACAGATGCTAAGGGACTGGTGTGTATGGAGACACTTGCACAGTGAGAGAAAAGGCTGAAATAAATGGGTTCTGGAAACTCATCTGTGCCAGAGACTAACTGTTGGGGTCTTGTTTAATTCAGCGATGGTGTTGAGCTGCTCCAGATGGTGAAGACCCCTGATTCCAACTGCAGCAACCTCCTGATTACAACCAGACAAGGCCTGGTTCTGCTTCGGGGGCAAAACCTTACACCCTACTGGACATTGAGCCTTCCAGGCCTGTGCAGGTTTGCAGTTGCTGTTTTGGTCCATTTCCTTACGTTTAAAAATTATGTAGAATAAAAAAAATTATGTAGAATAATTGATTGATATCTGTGGCTGGTGCAAAAGAGGGAGGGTAGAAGTTCCTTGTTTTCCTTCTTCAACATTGATTGCTTCTTTGTCCTTGCTTGCAGCCAGCCTACTCCTGGGTATTTTACTGATGACCGGACATTAGACTTCCTTCTGCAGACACAGGAAGGAGTTGGGATGAAAAAGGTAAACAACACTGGGGCACAAATCAAAGCATATATAAAGCATATACTTCATGCCCAGGCCTTTGCTAGGCCTTGTGTGGGTTAAAAAGAACCTAAAATATGATCTCTTCCTTCCAAGAGCTCGAAGTCTAGGTGAATGAGTAAAATGAAAACTCACACTTCAGTGTTTGTGCTGAACACTTACCTTTTTTCTTGTCACTAGTCCCTAAACAAAAGGTGTAACAGCTGTTTACATGGCAATTACCTTAGGTGTTATAAATAACCTGGAGATGATTTCAGTGTACAGGAGGATGTGCAGGGGTTATGTGCAAATTCCACATAGAAGGGACACGAGCATCCAGTGATTTGTGTTTCCATGGGGAGTTCCCCCACAAATACCCAGGGAGGACTGTATGTGTATGATTTGAATATCTGCAGCTGTTTATCTTCTTTTTGTTTTTGTGCACTCTCTGGCTATATCCACTGTCTTCTCTCTTGCAGATGATGGTGGTTGATGGCGACTCTGGCTCCATCATTTGGAACTACAGCACTCCATGTCACATGAAAGAAACTCCAACCACCTCAGCAGTTACTTCAGACCGGAAGTCTGTCTTCCTGTTCTGGGCAGAAGGGCTGTCGGCTGCACCACCCAATTCTGTGAGTGGGCCTGGGAGGTCCCTCTTTGTCACATGCCAGGGCTCTTCGGGGCTTACTGGCATCTCCAGATGTGATTTGACCGGTCATCTTCCAAGGGGATCAGGTAGAAACAGATAGGAGCCACTCTTCCCATCTTTGCCTTTTTGCCAACAATGTAAACACTGACCAGAGCCCCTGCCTACTGACAACCAACAGAGGAAGGCTGGATAAGGAATAAAAAGTCCTCTCAAGAGGCTAGGTCCAAATTACAGTTAACTCCTACATGCTGCAGTTGTTGCAGAGGAGAAATCAGTATGATTGGCCCACAGTGGGCAGACAAAGTCTCTTGCAGGGATGGGGCTGGGCTTGGAGGTGAAGAAAGACACTGCAGGTGTGGGCATGGGTGGGAGGCAGAGCTATGGGGAGGAGTGTTGTTGAGTGGGCTCAGCCGAATGATCAGTTGGAGTAGTGAATGAGAAGGTCTGACTGCTAGAAGACAGATTTTAAGAAGTTTCAGGTGTTGTCCTGCAGTATTTTAGGAGGGCTGCTGAGACAGGGTGCCGCCCAGGATAGGTGCCTCGGAGTCTCCAATAAGCACTGCCCCACCTTAGTTCCGTGCGACACATTTTGGCTAGTACTCACTGTGTGCCGGGCTGAGCTGTTTGTAGGCATCGAAGGATACTGGAAGCAGTCTGGACTCTCTGGGGATAGCAGATGGCCAGGGCTGGGGAGCCTGCTGGCCGCTGAGACCTGACTCCATTACCATGTGCTCTCTGACAAGTTGCTCAACATTTCTGAGCCTCATGGTCTCAATCCATTAATGAAGGTGCTAGTCTATTCCCTCATTTTGATTTACCTAAAACCTGGATTATAGCTGTAGTTTTAATTTCCTGGATTCCTCATATAATAAAATGAGGGGATTAGACCAGATGGCTCTGAGATATGAGCTTCTATAAATAGCAGCACAATGAGGTCAGGCTATGAATGTGCTCCTAGAGGTACAGGTAAGAAGGGTAGATGGATGGGGACCATCCTGGGGGACTGGGGAACTTCTCAAGAAGAAGGAGCATTCACACTGGGAACCTGAGGACAGGAAGTGTTCTGATATGTGGAAATGAGAGAGGGGTTAGACAGTCTAAGGGGAAATAAGATTGGCAATGGGCAGGTAAGGAAGCAGAGGAAGCATGCCTGTAGGGTGACAGTCAGACATTCTTGAAGCATGGGTGAGCAGTACATAATTGCAGAAGGCAGATTTCAGTTCAACAGTGTAAAACTTTGGTTTTCATGCTATGGATTTTTGGGCCTCTTTCTGTGGGTGGTGAGCAAGGCTATTTTGCCTATTTTCTGGCCACTTTGTGGAGCCAGGGCTCTGTCCCTTCCTACGTGGGTGTGGAGATGCCCTCTTGCTTCGTGGTCCTGCAGTGGGAGTGAGGTTGCGCGCTCCTGGCCCCGTTTTTCCTCACTAAGCTAACTTAGAAGCTGCGTTGGCTGCACATGCGTGCCCCTATCCAGAGGTCACACTGATGCCGGTGGTCCCGAGGTATTTCTTCTCTGGGATGAAGAGACCTGATGCTTAGGCCTTGGAAGTTTGGATTTATAGTTGATGATTTGCCTGTCTCATCAATAATCTGCTTATTTCAGGAACTGATAAGAGTTTTAAAGTTTTTAACCTGTTTCTTGCAGTTGGCTTCAATATCCAGTGAGATGAAATCTTTGGCTCACACTATGTCTTCAGAAGTACATTTTTCTCTGTACAAAGACCCACCTGCTGCAAGGAATGACTCTACCCTAGTTGTCCTGCAGCCAGAAGAAGGGTTATTCTCTACAGCATGTTCCTCTTGGGGCATGCACATTTCCTTTCTCTTTTTTCTTCTTATAAGAGAGCATTTTCTAACTATAAATAGTGATCTGAAGAAGTTAGTGATGAGTCAGTGTTTTGAGCTCTTTGAAATAACATGTCTCCTGTATGTGGGAGTTTCTTTCAGATACATCCTTGCAGTTGGGAGGCAGAATTCAGCACCTGAGAAGAATGAGTAATCACCACTTTTTTCTCTGCCCATTTCTCCTGTCATGTATAGGAATGTAGACTCACCTTTGCTTTTCCTTTGTGTGGCTTATTGTCAGGATGCCATCTTAGGAGCTGATCCACCCAGCCTTTACCACCTTTACCTCCTACATCCGACCTTCCCCTCCATCCTGCTGGACCTGGCCAATGCCACAGGCACAGTGACGGCCTCAAAGGGTGAGTCTCTGTACGGGGAGGGGCTCATACACAGGACAAGGGGAGAATGTGTGCTGGCTGTGTATGGAGGGAGCCTTGCCCCACTGCGGGGAGGATTGTGCTCTTCCAGTGACAGCAGCAGCATGTTCTCTAGTGTCCCTGGAGCCAGGGGGTCTTGCTGGGGTGTGCAGACCTTTACTGAGCCTCAGCTCTGTCAGGACTGTACCAGGGCCACACAAGACATGTAGGACTAGTTGTTGTTGTTGTTGTTTTTACCTTTTAAGGGCATACAATTTGGAGCTGAGAGACATGATGGAGGTAAAATAGTTTTTCAGGGCATTGGCTTATTAGAGCTTTTTGAATAGTCAACATGCATACTGCATAGAAATTAGAGTCATTGCATAGATACTGGAGTCAAGAGAAAAATCAAAGAAGAAAAATTTCCTATAATCTGACCACTCATTACTGCATTTGGAACATGTTCTACTGTATATGTCTATCCAAATGAGACTGTAAGGCACAATTGGGATCATGTATTAGAGACCTTTAATTCAGGAAACCAAAGGCCTTGAAACTCAGCCATTACCACCTGCTTCTCGGGGTGTCTCCTTTTGCCTGGCCTTGGGGAGGCTGCTCTTCCTGTTGGGGGTAGAGAAGGGGAAGCTTGGTCTGGCCACATCTCCTTTATGTCTTTCCACTCTCTTGCCACTTACAGACTCCCTTCCTCTGGTGGAACACTCAGGCATGCTGTCCACAGGCTATGTCATGAGATGTCAGCTTGCAGAGTCCTCTCGTTATCTAAATGAGCCACCTTTCCAATATTAACACAGTGCAGTATTCAGGGAACATTGACTAATATTAATTAATAGTAAGAAGAATCTTAAGAAAATTTTTAATACAACCACTATTTTAAAGAGGAGGCAAAAGTAGGTATGGTGGTGCATACCTGTAATCCTAGCGCCCTGGGAGGCTGAGTCAAGAGGATCACAAGTTCAAACCTAGCCTGGACAACTTAGTGACTTAGTGAGACCCTGGCTGAAAAGAAAAATTAAAAAGAAAAAGACTAAGCAAAGTCAACACTGGTGAAATTAAAAAGCTTATGTGCCTCATAAATGTGTGCCATAGTGGGCATGTTCTCTCATTTGCTGAGCTGGGCCTTTCTTGGACAGAGCTTGAGAGAAGTAAAGACCGAGAAGAGTAGGCAGCTTGCCAACACGCACTCTCACCTCTGCACCCACTGGTTCTCTGCCTGGCATCTGTTAGCTGCTCAGTAAGTTTCCTGTGTCTGTGTGAACTGAGTGAATGTTGCTGAACAGAGTCACTCTCCTGCCAGCAGAAGCTGCCTGTCCTTGGTAACTGCTTTCTTTTTCGTTCCTCCTCAGTTGGAATCAATGACCTCTGGAAAGATGCCTTTTATGTCACCAGGACGACAGGGCCAGGCTCTGAGGGGCACCCCACACCCGTGGTGGTCAGCAAGCTTAGTCTTCGTTGGGCACTGATGGAGAGCCAGATGGTCCAGCTGAAGGAGACCACACCCAAAATTGGCCGGGGGGAGCTGCGAAGATTCCTCTCCAGGATAAAGTTTGTTGATTCTCCCTATCAGGTGAATACCTTCTGAGACACTACAGACTCAAGCTTTGATTTTAGGGAGCATGGGGAGGATTTCTGAGTAGAAGAATATCAGGAACCAGTCATGTTGGACCAGGGGTGCTTCCGGACCACACAGAAATGTTTCTCAGTTAACTGTTTCCAGCTGGAAGTAGCTCTGAAACCCTTAGGGGAATTTGGAAATGTGGAGTCATGGTTTTTATTGTCCAGCGAGGGGGGTGGTGTGGAACCTTCTGGTGTTTTCTGGGTAGGGCCTAGAAAGGACCCTTTGTAGTTGTGTACTACAAAGAATTACCTTGCGGGAAAAAATTTTCACCAGCAGTCCCTCAGACAAAGGTCTACTATCTTGAATCTATAAAGAACTGAAAAAAATCAGACCTCCCAAATTGAAAGACCCAATCCAAAATGGTCATCTGAAATGAACAGACATTTCTCACACAAAGAAGTAGAAATGGCAAATAAACATATGAAAAAATGTTCAACATCACTGGTCATTTGAGAGATGCAATTGAAAACAATGCTGAGATTCCACCTCACCCCAGAAAGAATGGCTGCTATCATGAAATCAACCAATAACAAATGCTGGCGGGGCTGTGGGGAAAGAGGAACACTGCTCCACTGCTGGTGGGAGTGTAGACTGGTGCAACCACTGTGGAAATCAGTATGGAGATACCTCAAAGAACTGGGACTGGAAGTCCCATTTGACCCAGCTATTCCCCTGCTGGGTGTCTTCCCCAAAGAATTAAGAGAATCATACCACAGCGATATATGTGCACCCATGTTCATAGCAGCACAGTTTGTAATAGCTAAAGCTTGGAAACAGCCCAATTGGCCATCAACTGGATACTGGATAAAGAAAATTTTTTTTTATTAAATAAAATGGAGAACTACTTAGCCATAAAGAATGAGAAATTAGAGACATTTATTGCTAGATGGATGCACATTGAGGCAATACTCTTAAGTGAAATAAATAGGACACACATGTGTAAATACCAAATAGTTTCTCTAGTGTGAGAAACAAAGTGTAAATAAGGACTAAAATGCATAACAGATAATGTGAAACAGGAAGAAAAGGTTCAAAAAGAAAGGGGAACTGGGAGGGGTAGGGGAAAGGAAAGAAGGGAATGGAATTAATATGAGAAAATGAAAAAATGGAAACAAAGTCTTTGTAAATAGGGAAGGATGGAAGGGTTGAAGGGAGGGCAGGGGAAGGGGGAAAAATAAGAACCAAGATGGATTATGTAAAGGTGCAAATTTCCAATGATGAATGTCATTATATTGTATACCTAAATCGTACCAATAAAAGGATATACAGTTGAAAAGAAAAGAATTACCTTGCTGAAAATGCTAATGTTCATTTCCTACCCCCCTTCCCTGAATACTCTGGTCTAGTTCAGAGTTCATGAGCTCATCATTGAGAAGGACAAAGTCTCCAGGCCTTTCTGGAGGGAGGAAGGGTAAACCACTGGGACTGAACAAGAAGGCAGGGAGTCTGACCTTTAGGTTTCCCTCATTTTTTGGAAACTTTCTAAGATGGAAAAATATGAAGTCACTGACAGTCTCCCTCTCCCCACAGATCTAGTCTAATGGAATCTTCAGTTTCAGAAGTAAACAGAGCGGGTCCCCTCTGCAGTCAGTGTGGAAGCAGTTCTTTGGAGAGAGGGAGACGTCCCAGGATGGATCGCTGCACTTTGGAAGGCAGCTGATGGAGCTGCGAGGATGCATGACCCGCTTGGCTGGGGCCTGGACTACCTTTCCCATCCCCGTCCTGCGTTAACCCCTCTAGGAACTCTGCGTGGGTAGTTTGGAAATGTGAATCTTCTCGGTGTTTTATTTTTTCATACATCTAATTTATAAACTGTTGCTGGGGAATCCAGTAAAGCCTATGAGTAGGACATATTTTGTTTTGCATTATGCTGCGTGTATGTATTTTTTGGTATTGTGGTGAGATTATTTCCAGACATGCCCTAAGCTTCAGGGATCCCATTTCTTGTCCTCTGGAGATACCTGTGACTTCATCATCTTGAGACTTCCAGATCGCCTGCCTCTGATTTTGAGGGTCACCCGTCATTCTCTCCTTACTCTCTCTCCCGTACCACGGCTACTTCTGAGCTGGTGAGAAAGACTGACAGTGGAGGACCAAGTCACCCAGCCAGCATTTTCATCTTTCCTTCCCCAACTTTCCATCTGTATTAAGTGGCCATGACAACAATCATGTTCCTATCACAAGGGGAGCAAGAGAAATAGTTTCAATGACTCACTTCTAACCAGGTCGCTATGTCCTGTCGAATTTGGTTTTGTTTGCTCTGCCAGGCATGACCTTTGTTCCTGCAATGATGTCAGAGGGCTGGGAGTCAGGGCCCAGGAAGCCCCATCCTCTCCACTCTGCTTTCTTCGCATCTCCGCTGGGCATCTCCGCTGGGCATCTCCGCATCTCCTCACCTCCTCTTACCTTGCTTTCTTTTTTATTCAGGGATATGTGTCTGGACTTTTACTTTTGCTACTTGAGTCCAGTATGCAACCATTTTGCCCTGTACCTTCCCTTATAGAGTCTTTGAAGCATTGTATTTAGCGAAAATTCTTATGCAAACACTATAAATTTTATAAGTGATTAACCTCTTTAGAATTATTTCCAGTACTTTCCCCATTCTTCTGTACACATTTATTTTTTTGTTTTCTTTTTTTTGGTACTGGGGATCAAACTCTGGTCCTTGTGCTTGTGAAGCAGGCGGCGAAACCACTGAGCTAAATCCCCGGCCCTGTACACATTTATTACTTCTGTTAAGTTCCCTTTTAAACTTCTAGGTCATTGTCTATATAGCAGAAAATCCAGTGGTAGCTCATGAAGAGAAAAAACTGCTTTTCTGATTGAGTACTTTTGATCTTCCCTGAGTGAAAATCAGGCTTTCTTCTTACTTGGGCTAGTTTCTCTTTAGCTTGTGTTAATGAAGGGATTCCAGAAAATTATGGATTCCATATTTCAAGGGATATCTATTAATTGCTCACTGATAGGTGTTGCAACAGGGGATTGGTAGCAATATATCCAAGCAAGTATATTGTTTCCACTGCAGACTATCTGGCCTACAGCTCAGCCGTGCCAGGTTTCTGCTAAGACTCTGAAAACATATTTACTTTCAACATTTTGGAAGTTGTGGGTGGGTCCAGCTTGACTTTAGTAGAACAGTTGAGAGGATATTTCAACTACAGATTCCTTTGTAGGCACTGAATCTACTTGGGTAAAAGGGCCTAGGTCACAGGGATGGCGAATCTTTTGGAGCTTTCAATAACAACATCCCTCTGTGGCACGCATGACATAGGTTTGCCACCACTGGCCTAGGATATAGTTCAATTAGCTATAGCGTTCTCAGGACTAATTTATAGTGGACCAAAGCCCAAAACTAATGGTCCTATGGCTTGGTTAAGCCATCCATGCATAACCTGTTCTCTAACATGTTGAGGCTTTCTGGGAAGCCAGCCAGCATATACAGGAGTAAAATACAAAGTTGTTTATTGAAGATCTGTTTGAGTAGGGTTTGTTTGGACAGAGGGACTATGTGTATGCAGGGTAAGTCTCAGACACAGAGAAGAGGAATCTAGAAACTAGTGTGACTGAATTCTGCAGAAGTACATTCTGTGAGTTTGAATCCCTCCTTGCTACACATAATGAAAGCTCCAGGTTTACTTCCTCTTGCAGCTAGTATAGAAGGATAGAAGTGATTCTGAGGACTGAGGAAGTGTCATCTGTCTGATATGAGTGCTGGTCTCTTGTCAGATGTGTCCTAAACAACCCACTCCTTGCAGGCAACCACCCACCCAGATACCCAAGACAGGAAGCTGTCCTTTCTCTTCCCAGTCCAAACAGGGTTTCTGGCAAAGCCAGCTGGATGACTACTTAGCAGCAGTAATGACTTCTACAAGTGCAAGGGCTTTCCCCACGCAGGCTCTCCTCTTTCCTTCCCTTGTAAACCCTCCCCTCTGTGCTAGGCAGTATCCTCACTGTCCCCCAAATATGTGGCATGGTTCTACCAACTAACCCCGTGAATGTGAATCGCTGTCCTTATTGTTCACAGGAAAGGAGAGCCAGCTGGTCTGTTGTCTGAAAGCACTATTTAAAATGTGAACTGTTAGAGAACAAATAAATACCATGTACCGGAATGTACTTGTGTGTCATTCTCGTTCTTGCCATCAGAGTTGGTTTGGTTTCCCTTCGGGAAAAGAGAAAGGGCATCTGTGTGGATGGTGTTCTTTATGGAGGAAATAGGAGGGCAAGCTTCTCAAGGGAGAGCAGGTGGCATCCAGAGAGGAGCCTCTGCCCCAGCCTGGTTCGCTAGAAAATCTCCAGTATGACTCTTTGGGCACTACAGTTCCATCTGAATAGCCATGGTAGGCCAGTTCCAGAAGTGAACCTTACCTTGTGGGCTGTGGGAGCTTTCTTGTACTATGCTACCCTTCTTTTCTTGGTGCCTGCGATGTGGATACAGGATGCTGTGGTAGGCAGCGTGGAGGACACCTCTCTTTCCTATCAAAGCACTCGAGGTGCTTCCATCTTCCAGCTGTGACTTCCAGAAAAATTCCAGTACACTATGGACTGTTGAGCCCTTGTCCCCTAGTCAAACTGCTGTTAATTTTGCTGACCTCTGTTTTTCCAACTTCTAGAGAGAATTTCCAGTTACCGGATTTCTAAGACCCCCTAAAGGCAGGAACTGTACTTCACTTTTTATCTCCATCGCTTAGTCCAAGAACTTGGCTCATAAGCAATCATTGAAGGATGAGAAGCAAATTCTGGATGCAGGAGATACAGGGAATGGATGCAGTGAGACAGAGCTGGGAAAGAGAAGGGGTGGTTACAGTGCCCCTCGGGACTTGTACTTAGCTCCTAAAAACCAGGCTCGAGACAGACTTTGGCTTAAGCAGCTATTGATAACAAGCAAACATGTAAGGTAGGGCTCAACCTGCTCTTCAAACCCACTTAACTCTTAGCACTGCCCTTCCTTTACAGATGACTCAGCCACTTCTTTCAGCTTTGGGCTGGTCCCTTGCTGAAATGCCTTGTCTTGTACTGCTGAGTAAAAGTCGACACTTTCTGAGACAGAATGGACAGGCCGATTGTGGTACTGGTGGTAGCTGCTCAAAGGAACCCCTGGGCAGGCAGCACATGATAGCTGCTGGAGGAAACACTGGTGGTGATCGGGCATGCAACTCGGGTTTTCTTTGAAGCTCTTACTATGCCTGCACTTGAACTCCAGCATCATCCTGGTGTACACTTTGAAGGTAGTGACAGCCAATGCCATGCAGCAGGTGAAGGAAACCCAGGCCATGCTAGGGGCAAGCACACAACAAAGGACAGAAAATGAGTGACTTGCTTGGAAGAAAAATGCTATGATCCCTTCCCACTAAGCTGACGCCTTTTGGGGACTCGGGGGGCTGAGTGTGCTGCCTTCCACCATGTCTCAGGTAAAGAACTGGTATGCCTTAGTAGAGTATGTTCCGCAAAGAACATACTGAAGATTAGCTCAGTGGTAGCTCACTTGTCCATGCACATGGCTTTGGGTTCAATTACCAGTACTGGCAAAGAAAAACTAAATTAGGTTGTAGCTCTTGCTCAGTGGTAGAGTGTTCCCTAGCATATGCAAAGCTCCAGGTTCCATTTTAGCACATACACACGGGGGGGTGGGGGTGGGGGTGGGGGGGTGGAGAGAATGAAAGAGGACGGAGGAGGAGAGAGAAGCAAATGAGAACGTGACCCATGTAGTATACAAATCATACAAGGAGTTCAGTGGAGTGGTGGTGTGCCTATTTTATACACAGAAATGAAATTTATATATATATAATTATATATTAATATAATATATAATATATATATATTCCACAGCTGCTGTTACCCTTGTAAAATCTCCATGATCCCACAGACCTGCATGATTCCTCCATGATTTCTTTACTCAGCCCTCCCCACCAAAGACTTCCCTTCGTGCAGGTGCCAGCAGGAACCATCCCTCTCCTACCCTCCTTTGTTTTGAACTGAACTTCCTTTGAGAGTCATTCATGAAAACATTGCTACAAATCTGAGGAAATTACGTCACAGTAGGAATTTGCTTAGTTTGAAAACAGCGTGGCTCTTGGTTTAAGGTGGTTTACAATGGATGCTTTAAGAGAAGCTGGAGGTGGATGGAATCAAGAAAGAAAATGACACACTAAGGAACTGTAGCAAACACATTCCTAAAAACTTGGAAAGCAGAGCCCTAAATCTGCCTGTGATTCTGGGAAGCTCAGGAAGCAGGAAGTTCTGGGAGGTGAGGCAGGCTGTCTCTAGGTCAAGGGATGGTTAAGGCCACAGTTGGTGCTTGATGCTCCCATCTGCTGCCTCTGAAAAACCACGTAGCTTCAGGTTGGGTGGCTTTGTATCGGAGTTTTTACAGCCTGAGCTCCCCAAATTCAGTGCCAAGGAAGGCCTGAAGATAGAAGGGGTGAGAAATGGTGCAGTGGCGAGGGAGTAGAATAAAGGCTCCTGAACCAAAGGACACGTGGGACACCACGAGGAGAGGGGACAGGATCTCAGCCCAGACATGAGTCGGTGTGCAGAAGGCCTTCATTCCAACGGGAACTGGAGCCCAGCACTGTCTTCTCCAAGTGGTCCATGCACTTAGCATGTGCCCCTGGAGGTTAATGGGAGTCCAAGTTGGCAGCTCCATAGTGAACAAAGAGCGCTCCTCAAAGGAGAAGGCGGGGGAACTTTTAAACAAAGCCAGTGTTGGGGCTGATGTGTTTGTTTTGGCATGGTTGCTGCATGGAACGGACCCCCTAGTAAAGATCTGAGAGGAACAGTGGGTAGGGAAGTTTACTCTAACACAGTTTGGCAGAAGAAGAATAAGGTGGGAAGAAGTTACTCTTGGAGTTTATAGGAGAGTTTGTAATGGCTAGAAGGAAATTTATTGATCATCAACTCAAGTGAACTGGAATTCAATCCAAATTTCAAGGCTAATTATTTTTCATTTCTCTAGTAATTTGGAATCATAAAATGTATATAAAAAGCATCAGTTCCATAAGCCAGACAAAATCAGTGTCATCTTTCAAGGACAACATACAGATTAAGTGAAGAGAAACTGGACAATCTAGGTGGCTGAGACAGGAGGGTTGCAAGTGTGAGCAAAGCCTGGCTGGCTTAGCTACTTCATGAGACCCTGTATCAAAAAAGTAGAAGGGCTGGGATGTTAACCCAGCGCGAAGACCTGGGGTTCAATCACCAATGATGCAAAGTAAAAAAAAGAAAAAAAAGATGAAAGAAGGAAATAACCAACTTGGGAGGCTGAGGCAGGAGGATCGCTGTGAGTTTGAGGCCAGCCTGGGCTATGCAGTGAGTCCAAAGCCAGTCGGAGCTACAAAGCGAGACCCTGTCTCAGAAACCAAACAGAACCAAACTAAACCAAAACCAAACCAAGAAAAGAAGAAAGGTCTTTCTGGACAAGACCATGTCGTCACAAAGCATGCCGGAGGAATGCTCTGTACCCCTTCCGAAGGCAGGGAAAGAATGAATGCCCTGATGACAGACTTCAAGAATGGAGGATGAAGAGAAAGAGGAAAACTGGGAAGTGAACATGGAGCCGAGAGTAGAAAAGGTAGGGAAAGTTGGCCAGGGAAGGGGTAAAAGGTTCAGGGAATGATGCTCACTTACTAGAAGGCCCAACCATAATTCCAGGCATGAGGTCTCCAGTCTTCTGGACCCAAGTTGGCAGTGGCCTGGAAGACTTGGGAATACATCATGTGGGCCACCATCCCCAAGAGGCCTTCAGAGGGAACAGGATGGCACAGGGTTAGGGAAGGGCTGTCCTTGGCATTCCCTGGAACATGACTTTGGCACCACTACCTAAAACTGCAGCCTGGCAGGGCCTCCTGTACCCTTCCCTCCAGTTCCCGGGAGACTGGTCTATATGGGGGCATCTTGAATGCATTCTCTTCGGAGTGGTCACCCCGAACTTCCGGTGAGAGCTACAGACAGAGCACCTGAGTGCTGCACCAGGGCCATTGCTCCCTTTAACTTCTTCCCTCACTCTGTTCTTCCTCCTGCACATGCATCTTTCACTTTATCCAAGACCATTTTGAAAGGCTGTGTGCCAGCCACAGCGGAAAAACAAACCCAGCAAGCAGTTTCCCGTACTGGGAAAGCTTGCAAAGAAAGCAACCTAGGGGTAAATCACTTTGTAAAGAGCACAATTATCCATTATTTCACATTACTTCAATTTAAAACGAAAGATGCCTGATCAAGGTGTGATATATATATGTACCAATTCCCCACAATGAATGTATTTATTATGTGTCACAAACATATTCTAATTAAAAAAGGGTACCTGCAATGTATCTCCTACCTCCAGCCAGTGCCCCTCCTTGTTTGGGGGTCACTCACCTGATAGGGAGGAAATGGCCACGAAAGCGCTCTGCTTGAGCCTTAAGCCTGGGTTCCCTGTGAGCAGCAAGTCCGTCCGTAGCAGGAGGAAGGTGATGAACTGAAGTCCAATGTAGGTGATCTGGGCTCCCAGCGATAGCCAGAGGATCTCTGTTGGAAACCATGGAGAGAAGGGACCCCCACCCCAACAGTGACATGACTGGACCAGTGGTGAGCACAGGCAGCCAGGCCCCCAGAGGTCAGAAGCCCAGAGTTTGGGGGAAGAAAAGGAGACAGAGATGCAACCAGTGACTCTATTTCGAGTTCTTTGATGTCAGCCGCAGCTCCCACCCTGTGTGGCATCCTGCATGTAATCGCGTAAATGTGGACTGTAAATACTTTGAGCGAAATTTGTGACTTTCAAAGTTACCTAACTTTCCATAAGTCCCGATGGTATATCCCTTTGTTAGTTATCATTTTTGTCTTTCCTTTTCCTTATTTAATTTTGAGAAGATCAGTTTTGTGTTCTCTTTTCTTCCCTCCCACCTCCCTCCCTCCACTCCCTTCATTAAAAAAATAAAAATAACAATTGGAAGAAAAGCCAAAGCTTTTCAACATGGTTTCTTGGCAGGGAGCGCCAGCTAGAACTCTTGGTGGTTTTCTATTTGTGAACTGTGTTTAGCCCCGCTGTTCCTGTTTTGCATTCCTGCCTGTGAATGACAGCTCTAGGAGGAATTCGTGTTGCCCCTTGGGACTCAGAAGAGGAGGAGAGCAGAGATCACAGCGAAGTTTAGCTCCAGAGAGGCCCCAAGCGATGGTAGCCAGGTTGGTTATAGAACACATACTTGCCACGAGCCCCAAGGGAAGGCGGGGGAGGAAAGCGTTCTCCGTCAACCCTCCAAATCGGAGAGCGGGGTGACACAGGCCTTGCAACGTGGGAAATTCCAGTAGTCCTTTCTCACCTCTCTCGGCTGGTGGTGTGAGTTCAAGGAAACTTCGGCACCTCTCCCCTGAAACACACAAGGGGCCGACTTCACGGGGCGCTTTCTTGGGCAGCCCCGTCCCCAGGCTGCTCTAGGACTTAGCAAATGTGTCGGTTGGAAAGCAGGAAAGAATGCTTGGATGAATGAATGGCAGGGGACATCAGACTGGTTTCTCTCTCCTGCCTTTTTGGTAGGAAGATGCTGTTTCCCAAGAATGCCAGCCCAGGCTGCTGTTCCTACTTCCTTTCTCAGGAAAAGTGCATGACCCTGGCGTGATGAATGTGGCCACTGGACTGCTGGATCAAATGGTTCTCAATTGTTTCCAGGACTCTGTGGTTGGGGCTGCACTGAGCTGCACAGTAATACATAAAAATGCAAACACACACACACACACACACACACACATTTTTATTCCTCTTCTATCTCCTTTTCCCTTTACCCTGGGTTCAAGAGAAGTAGCAGATTTCAAATTGAACATGATTCTGGGCATTAGAGAAATGTCACCACCAGACACTTCCCAGGCCACAAGGTGACCTTCAAATGCTGAGAGCCAGGAGAAGCAAGGGGAGGAGTCCTCAGCCTTATTCCCTTCAATTTGAGGAACACACGTCAATGAGTGGAAACTGGCACAGTGTCTGCAGCTCCTTGAGGAACCCTTACACGACCAGCCCCTTCCCCGGGCTGCAACTCCCCTAACCCTTTATACTGTAATAATCCCTTAGGATGGGAAAATGCTTTAGGAGGAGAAGGGGAGAGGCTTTGCAGATGATCTGCTCTGGTCCTTTCATCTCACAAATGAGAAAAATCAAAGCCTATAGAAATGAAGTTATTCATAGAAGATCCCAGTTAGGCAACACTAGGACTTTTTCTACAACAGTCTTTTCTCCTTGTTTTGTTTCTAAGATACAATTCTAGAGCAGCTGTTCTAGCTGGGTGTCATGGCTCATGCCTGTAATTCCAGCACTCAGGAGGCTGAGGCAAGAGGATCACCATGAGTTCAAGGCAGTCTGGGATACATAGTGAGTTCAAGGTCAGCCTCAACTACATAGCAAAACCCTGTCTCCAAAAAAAAAAAAAAAAAAAAATTCTCCAAAGGTGAAGGTTCTAAATAAATGACAATTGATGATAATGCTTTCTTCTTTCTTTTGTCTTGCTGTACCAGAGGTTGAACTCAGGGCGTCACACATGCTAAGCAAGCACTATACCTCTGAGCTACATCTCCAGCCCTGGGTTAACACTATTTAAAACACGCAAGTAGAGGTGGGTTTGCGGCCTCAGGGTGGGGCCCGAAGGTCAGAAGAGTTCAAAATCAGCCCCGGCAGTTTAGTGAGACCTTGTCCTAAAAACAAAACAAAGCAACAACAACAAAACCCAAAGAACAAAACAGAAAAGGCAATTAAAAACCAAAAGAACCCAAAACAACCCAGCAAGCCTAGTGAAGAGGGAGGCAGAGAAAGCCAGAAGGAATTTTTAGCTTGTTACAGGGGCTAGGAGAAGAGACAGTACCGAGGGGAGGGCGCTGAGCAGGGGATGCGGTGGAAGGTCGAGGGATTGGGGCAGTTGGGTACTTTGCACTGCTGTCCCAACTCAAGATGCCCTAAAGGTTTCCTGCCCTGCTCCACTCCCCTGCAAAAAAATAAAAACAAACCCCCAAAACCAGATCAGGCAGATGAGGTGAGAAGGCACCTGGCTCTTCCATGATTTCCTCACAGGATAGCCACATGCCACTTCGGAAGGTAAGGAAGGAGAAGCGGTCATCCCCAGTCTCCCAGCTGTATCGTACCACCTCTGGGGTGGATGTGTTGGAGACGCCACCCTCCAGGGACAGTGGCACGTCAGAGCACTTGGTCGCCCGACCTTTTCCGCACAGGGGCTTGGGCACCTTCTGTGACCCCACAAACCAGTAGCTGCTGAGCAGGGATATTGTGGAGAGGCTGAGTGATAGCACACTGAGGACGGCAGATACAAATGTCCGCTGGCCAGAGGAGCCCTTCGGGAGTTCCATCTGCAACACACAAATGGGAGGACGGGAAGGGAGCTAGAGAGCCTGGTTTCAGAGTCTCCTCCCTGGAGCTGTGGACACGCTTCTGCTGAGTGGCCCAATTTAAGCTGGACCTTGTGTGGCTCCTACAGAAAAGTAGTAGTGATTTGTGCAGATGGAATAAAGACAGGGCTGGACTCTGGGCATGAAACACAACTGAGGGAAGAAGGGATAAAGGTGATCCACCAGATGGCACACATCATAACGAGGGACGCACAAGTCAGATTGAGTTGGATGTGAATGTGTTGAAATCTATTTCTGCTTAAAGGTGAGAATTGTGTCCACGTGGCTTCTGACTGGCAAACACTAGGGAAAATGTGTGTGTGTGTGAGTGCCTGCCTTTCGGGAAGAAGACTCCAGAAGGACCCCACAGGCAGCTTGTGTTCTGAGCAGCAGAGATGGATTTGTTTGAAGCCACCAAATCATCCCCTCAAGTGGCCAGAGGCAGCAAGACAGTGAAAGGGCATTGAAACAAGTGTGCCGCTGGCCAGGCTGCCTACTGAAACCCTCCCCTCCGCAGCTTACTCCAAGCCCCAAGTACTGCAGGAAGTTCCCCTCGCTGGCACCTTCCATGGGAAGTGAGGCTGGGGAGAGTGTGGAGGACTCGGTTTTTACTTCTCCATGGTACAGATGGAGGATAGAGCGGGCAGTGAGCCCAGTGGGCCCGGGGCTGTTGAAAGCCCGCGGAGGAGAGGGGGCTTGTGGGCTCTGACAGAGGGGTGAGCTGAGTCCAGAATCTCAAATAGGAGGCAGCCACATGACGCCACTGAGCTGGACCCTGAGTGTCGTGGGGCCAGTGGGAGGGGCTGTCGCCAAGCCCTCGGTTGGGGGAGAGGACCCTGCGGCCCAATGCCGCAGTGGCGCTGGCTCAGTGGGGATGCACGCGTGGCACTGTAGCCCTGGCTGCAGCCTCCACTTTCCTCGTCATTGTAAGCCTATGAAGAGGCTGACCTAAAAAGTGACCAGTTTTAAATGTGCCAACTCTGTTGAGTGGTGGTTTGGAGCCAGATTTAATTTGATTTAGAAAAATAACTCCAACAAGCCCTGTGCTGTGTGTTCTGGAGCAGGGTCTGCTGTTACATGAAGGCATTTTGAACAGAACAGAGGGCTGTGCTTAGTTGCTGACAGACGCTTCTTAAAGTAAACCATCTTGAGCTTTGCAGAGTATGTCTTTTATCAGAATTAATCGGACCCAAATCTGCTTAGCTTAAGAGATGTAAATAAAACCACGGCTAAATGAACAGGCCTGTAAATCTGCCTCCCTCTTCACCCCCAGCTTAACAGTTGCTACATTTAACACAGAGCTTTAGTTTAGAACCGTAACTGTTTGTCCTTCAGAATCTCCAGTGCGCACCACAATCTGCCTGTTATTTGTGACAGTAAGAAATATGCAAGGTGGGCGTATATATAAAAACAAGAACACAAGAAAAGGGTAAAATAGCTTCAGGGAAACAATATGCTAATTTGATTTTTTAAAAAGCACTTAATTTAATTTTTGTAAGGTTCTTGGTAACTTTGACTAAGGACAAAACACATATGCATGCATGCACACACGCACACACACAACATTAAAAGAAGCAAAGACCTTACATTGCCAGATCCTGGAGAAATGTGTTGCTCAGTTCCCCAGAAAGAATGTTTTCATCTTTTTAGTGGTGACAATCCTATTGGCTTTCTTCATTGTTGTTTTACTGAGTTATCTTTTCTAATTATTCTTAGAATAGAAATGGACTTCCAGGTAGAGCATCTACACTAACCTTTCTGTATGAAGATGAAACTAAGGATTTAGGCAATTCTAGAATTGTCACCTCAGGATTAGTTTTCAACAGTATTTTCAAGCTTACTGGGTTTGAAAATTGTCTACTATTGCATCATATCACATCAGCTGTAACTCCACATTCAATCCATTTCAAGTTAACATGCATTTGTAAGTTAATCTACAGGTTATTTAGAAAAAAGCCCTACGCTGAAGTACACCCACTTTGGGGTACCAAAGTAACAAGTTAAGAGATGCTCTGAGAAACAAAGGATGAAGAAGACCTTAGGTTAGCTCAAAGTGCTCCTTCCAGAAGTATTCACCAAGGACAGACTGGAGAAGCCAGCCCCTTTCAAGAATTATCTCCTTGATAAAGGAATGATCATCTCACTTAAAAGCCTTCTCAAGAATTATCTTCACTACTCATTGTACCATGCTGTGTTACATTCCTTTTCTCTCTAAGATCCAGGTACCACTTATTGGAAAAACAAATCTCACTTTGCAATGATTTCCTTAGAGGGATCCTGGAGAACAGTTATATCTGCATATGGATTCAGACCCTGTGCTAAAGTGACACAACTCTCCAGATCAGGGACAGAGTGGCTTCTCTGACATTTAGGGGCTTAGATCATCAGGAAGTGCATAGGTGCCAGTATGTCAGTATTCCTTTTAGCAACATATATTAGCAGAAAAACCTCAGCAACAGCATAGGTTAGGAAGGACAACAAATTGACAAGACAGGCATGCCTCATAAAAGCACCAGGTGCAAATCATCTGTTGGATTTATCTCCTGAGCAATAAAAAGGGGAAGCTGGTTACCTTGACCATGGTCAGCATTTGGCAGCCTGTCTGGGACCATGTTAAGATTCCATCTGCATCACAAGGCTCTTTAGTTTAATGTTGTAAGGATGAAAGCTGCCTTCCCACCCCCTTCTTTGCCTCCCCCCTTCTATCACATACTTTTGGAATGCCTCTTGATTAAATGCTGCTTTACAATGGACATGGGCGTTTAATAATTGGAAATGCAATCACAGCCCAGCTGTTCTGGGAGATTACACCAGAGTGCTTGCCAATGGCAATCTGGGATTAAGCACAACAAGGCGAGGATCTGCATTTCCAGAGGTAAATTATTTCATTTCCACCTACCTGCCATTCCCTGGGTAACTGGTGTGAGTGGACCAGGCTTGATTTCTTTGGCAGACACAGAAAATATCATGGGGCCACTATTATCATTAGCAAAGTCTCCCCTCCCTTGAGTAGGGTTTCCCATGCCTTTGAAGAGGGCATGCTCTCTGGAATGTTGGGACCTCAGGGAGCCGTGAACTGGAATAGCTTCCTTGTCCCATGGCTGGTCTCCAGTTTCTAGGCAGTGTCATTAGTAAGATGATTAAGTACCTCCCTCTTCAGAATGTGTGTTGGATGCGAATGGAGTGGAGGATATGGATGCAGTGGGAGATAGATAACTATAGATATCTTTCAGAGATAGATAACTCCAAGGTCAGTATTGTGATGCCTGTAGACAGTTTCTCTCCTCTATTTTAGGCAAAGGAATGACAGTCTTTTGTTCCCCCCCCAAAAAAAAATTTCTAAAATTTGAAAAAAATCCAACAAATGCGTTGACTGCTTGTATCCTCTTGCTACCAGTCACCTAGAAGTACAATTAGTACAAGTTGTTCTGTCTGTCTTCAAAATTGTACAAATTACTTGGATGACATTCTGCAACTTCATGTGATTCCCTAAACACTCTGAACTTCTGGTGTACCTTTGCTGATGTTCTCCCTTCGGCCAAGAACACCATCAATCTCTTTTTACCTGGCAAGCTGCCTCTCATCAAGTGTAAAAAATCACTCATTCTTTGAAAGTGTTTCTTTTCTTCCTAAGACATACAGTTCCTTCTCTCTGTTCTTGTCACATTGTACCTCTCTCATGACACTCTATTGCACTGTCATGATTTGTGTTGATCATAAATTCCTCAAAGGCTCCTCCTTCATCCTAGAGCAGTTCTGACCAAACAGAACAAATGTAAGTTTGGAAAATATGGAAATCACTGGACTCCACCTTGTGATTCCACAGTACTTGTAAGAGAAGACCCAGGAATTTGTAATCTTAGAAAGCTCTTAATATATCCCTAGGGCATTAATGTAACATGATTCCTGTTGGATTCATTTTAGGTGTACATTTAATGAAACCCTTCATAACCTGCTCTACCTGTCCCTTACCTCTTCTGGATCAACCACTAAGTCATAGTTTTCTTGCTGTATATTTATGCAGACATTTTAGAGAATTAAAGCCAGGGTCTCTTTAACCTGAGTGTTGGAATTTTAATCCAGTTCTAGACAAACGAGTCACTTTGGATACTGCTTTTGTCACCCAGCATATTCTCTACTCTGTCCAGGCTGATGCTAACAAGCAAATCGAATACAGGTGCGCATATGTCCAGGCGTGTTATATGTACTATGCAAACAGCCCCCTGGGAGAAGGGGGCTGGAACCCCGTGATCAGTCACCCACACTTGCGGTTGAACAGGCTGCTGCATTCCCGGCCACGTAGTTTCCTCGAGACACTGGGTGGCGCTATATCTCCATGTTTTTTCCTCTTCCATCCTGGGTTTCTCCACCAGCAAAACGTGGGTGGAGGTGGCTGCGCCTCCCAGTATAGAATTGTTCTCTTTTCTTCCTTTGGCCCCTTCCCTGCATGGCATGCTAATCTACAGAATACCGTGTGTCAGCCTGATGGAATTCAGGGCTCAGAATGGACTTGCCACTCCCTGGAGGACCTCTTCTACGATTACTTCCTGTGGCACATTTTTTGGGGTGGCCAGTTCAAGTTGTCAGTGACTCAATAAATCCTCAAATACTTGCTAGGGGAAATACAACACCACAGTATCACAAAATACATGTTTCCTGATGAGTGTGGTGCACATTTTTCTCTACTTAATTGTATCCTCATTCTCTCTCCACCCTAGAACAGTGAACAATTCTTTTCCCTTCACTGTACTTACACCCTTCAAATACTTGTAGACTCTTCTCATATTCCTCTTTGAGTCACTGTTTGGCACAGCCTCGTGTCTTCGGTTTTTATTACCTCTGCTCATAAACCACACCCCCTCTGCCTTAACACCCTGAAGTTTTGCCTTTTCCAGGGAAAAGGGGACAGGAGTGGCAGAGTTAAGCGTGTTACACGAGGAGGCCCAGAGGTGGCTTTAAAGCAAAGCTAATGGAACTTCAGCTCTGTGCTTCCCCCTCTTGCCTGGAATGCTTCCGAGACCCTGTTACTCAATTCAAACTTGTAATTTCGTATCATTTTTCTTGCAGAGGGCCTCCAAAATGATATTATTTTAAGCCTCTATAAAGCCAGGGTCCACCGCTTCCGAGGTTGTGCATTTTTTTGTGGGTGCTTGGCGGGCTGGCTGCTGGATGTGACCAGTCTTGGGTTCCCCCTTCCCAAAGTACCCCCGGGGCCACAACGTCTAATTTCCTCTTTTGACAAAACCCAAGTTTCTCTGCCTGGCCACAAAAATCAGAGTCCGGCATCCTACTCATTTCCTTTCATTGTAATTTGGGCATGTAAATATATTTTTTTCCTTTTCCTTTCTTAGAAGAGAAAAAGTAATTGCTAGTCAATGTAACATAAATATAATTAGGCTAGGCTCAGAAGCTCATGACTCAGCATAGACACAAAGATTCCACATCTCAAAACAGTATTTAACTTTGGTATGTTGGACTCTTACCATTTCAGGATGACTCCCACAGGGATATGTGTGCACCTCACCTCACCATGTGTGGTATCACAAAGCCAAGAGTTGGGACTAACCCACATATGCTAAGTCACTGTTCCCTGTATGATACAAAAGCATGTTTGTTAGATACACATAAGGACAGAGGTGATTTCATGATATCTACACACATTTTGTAGATGGAGATTCGGTTTATTGTGTTGTGAATACTCTGTAGATTACAGGCAATTAAAATGATGGTTGCATAGGATACTACTTCCCTAAGGCTGAAGCCCAGGGCTAAGAGAGCCCTTGAGGGTATTAATTTCCTTTCTTCACATCACCCATACTGGCACCTTCCTGTTTACCCTCCCTTACCATAATTCCTCTGTCCTTCTCCCTGGAGCCAGATTTCCAACCCCTGTCCTACGAACCAACTCCTTTCTGTTATTCAGAAGGCAAAAGGCTGGAGTGCATTTTGCCTGAGACCGGCTCTGATGGACCAGCCTTGCTCTCTGCTCCTGCATGTTCGGATGTGGCCACCTCTCCTGTAGCTTGCGGGTTTACTTGTGTATTATGCTCATTTGACTTTGAGTTACTGGCTACTGTAGCAGCCATGTTTTATTCACTGCAAAGCCTAACACTGTTTTAATGTCCAAGAGTGAAGCTTGTAACACCAACCACATAGCTCATGAACACACGCAGGAAGCCTGTGGATGAAGATCTGAATAACAAACGCTGCCCACACAGCCTTCTGTTGCTCAAGCCGACACGATTCTTCCCTGTTCACACACACAGGGACATGGGAAGCTGCAAAGGGGTCCACAGGTCCAGGCCCTCAGCCTGTCTACACAAATGCTTCCTCCCACAACTCCAGCAAACAGATTCTCTGCCAATACATTTCCTCTCACCTGTGGGAACATTCCTGCTTTTTGATGAGCAAAGCTCAGAAAACAGCAATGATCTCATGAGCGAGCATTATCTTTAGTCCACAGAGACCAGAGACACCCAGTGACAGACTGGAAATGTTACCTCCTTTTCCAAGCTCCGTGATTTTCTACCGATTAGGGCCCTTTTGCATGATCTATCTGGAGCCTTTTGAGGTTTTACGGCTCTCGTTGCAACTTTTACTGCTTTGTTGTGGGACATCTGACGGATAAAAGTAAGGAAGGTCTTCATGCAGGATATTTTGACCCCTGCTCCAGAGGGAAGGAAAACTGAGCCTCCTCAAGGCCCTCTGCTGTCCATGACACAACAGCACAGTTAGCTCTTCAATTTCCCAGCTTCTGGCTAATTATTTCCGAGCTATCCAGTGAAGAGGGGTCCACTTAACACCAAATGCTCACACAGTAAAGCGACCCCAGTCTTCCTAATGTGCGGCCGGTGGTTGCTGGAAACACTTCAATTCCTGTTCAGTGAGTGGGACCAAAGGAAAGTATTTGGGGGCCTCTCGCTTGCCTTTCCCTTTCCGCTTTTTAATGGAATTGTTGAAGGGCTTTTGCTAGTGCAATCATTTCCAGGAGAGGAAGCCGCCTTTCTTCCCTGCCCCAAGCAGCTGGAGTGAATCAGAGGGGCAGCCGCATCTGCGCATCCTGTGGGGCAATCGCTCACGCGCGGGTGACGGCCACCCGCTCCTCAGTCCCCTCATCCCGTCCTTTCCGGCTCCTCTCCCCTCCCTCCCCTGACTGTCGCGGTGTCGCCAGCTCCCCAGGCCGCCCGGGAATGAGTAACACTCCTCTCCGCGTTTACTACGGCGCCCCGGTTGCCTAGCAGCGGGCGCGCGTTGCCACGGCGACGCGAAAGGCAGGGTTTTGCATTGTTTGGCGAATCCTGCCCAAGTGGCGTTTGGACTTCCAGACCGGGTGGGGCAGGGGAGCAGCTGTTTGTTCCTCTGTCTTCCGGCGTAGGCTGAGAACTTCGACCCGAGGGCCTCCTAGGGCGACCCTGCCTGGAGAGCCGATCTTGAGGATCTGCGTGATTGCTGTGGATTCCGAAGTCACTGATTTCCTTGCTCCTTCGTTCCCTGAAAGGTCGGGGTTCCTGGTCCTGTTCTGAAGGAACTTCAGCCCGGGGCGGTGGCGGTGCCTGTAATCCCAGCAGTCTGGGAAGCCAGGACTATGACAAATTTAGGGATTTAGAGAGACCCTGTCTCAAAATTTAAAAATAAAAAAAATTAGAAATTACAAAAGGGGTGGAGAATGAACTCAGTGTGAAGGCCCTGGGTGCAATTCACACTACAACCACCACCACCAAAAAGAAAAAAAGGAAAAAGCAAGAAGAACCTTATTTAACAGGAAAATAACTCCCCCAGCAAATCTCACTTTTGGTCACGAATTCACCCATGACTGCATTGCTGCCTTGGCCAAATTACTTAACCTCTTCAGGCTTAAATGAGGGGAAAGAGTTGTAGCTCAAAAGAGGTGGAGGGAAAGCTCTCTAGGGGGGAAGGAAGGGGAAATGAACCCGAACTGCCAACAGGAATCGGGCTAGACTCTTCACAAACATCTTTAGTCCTCACTCGGAGCCTGAGAGAGGTGGCATCGCCATTCTACCAGGGATGGCTCAGGTTCCGAGCGTGTGATTCGCTCAAGGCCACAAAGCTAGTAAATGGTGGTGAGTATTCAGAACCTTCCAACTGCGCCTGACTCATCACAGATTTCAGTCCACTGTGGACACTCCTGCAGGATAAGGCAAAGCATTAGGTGTGCTGTGCTTTATGCTTCTCAGGTAAGATGGTAGCCGAGACATTGCCGCATGCTTTTTGTGTCTGTCCTAGAAAGCCAGTGATACAAAACAATAAAATTTACTCTAGGTCATGGCTGGCTTGCTCTGTTATATTCACAACCACTTCTGAGGGCTCTCCTATTTATGGTCTATTCACTTGGGCTTCTTCTGAATTCAGGAAGCTGCCTAAGTCCACACACCGACAGCTCCTCAGAACCACTGGCTCTGTCCTGCAGCCTCAGAAGTGCCTCTTAGTTTCTCCTGACCTTCCTTCTGAGCACTCTGATTTCCAGCTGCTTCCCGTGTGTGTGCTGTAGTTCCTTGGCTAATCGCAAGCTTCCCATTTCTCTCTTGTGACAAGTGAAGAATGAGCACCATTTTTTTTTTAACCCTTTGAGCTGAAAGTTGGTTGTTCCCAGTGTGAAAGAAGGACGGTCATGTCCAGATATGGCACCAGAGGAGCCTGAGGCTCTGCCGCTTTCCTCATTCCAGATTGCGGCTGGCTTCCGGTGGGCGGGACCTTGGAGGTACCTACCTCACTGCTTTGTCAGCTCCTCCAGCTCACTAGCGTGATACACGTCTCCATTATTTCTGCCACCACTGGCCACTACAAGATTTTGGCAACAGGAATTGTAGAGATAGAAGGAAAAAAGAAGAGCGATAGCTAAGAGCCAAGCAGCTCCTGGGACCAGTGAGGAAAAAGGAAGACCAAGAGGCAAAGGAAGAAGAAAGTTTTCAACAGGAAAGCTTCAATGGAAGAAGATAGGAAAACAAGAGGCCAAAGTACTGAATAAACCAGGCTTATAAAAATAACAGGCTTGAGTAACAAATTTTCATTCCATTGTGTGAAATGCTACATCGTGTTTGTGAGCTCCTCACTGTAAGCAAGTAAAGTAAATCAAAACATTGATATCCCCCATATTATAAATTTACCATTAAGGATAGTACTGAACACATATGTAATATTCATGGGGTTTCAAAAAGCAGTGTACCTACCTCCTGGGTGAGGCATACATTGTGAATCAGTTGAGAGGGATTGCTCATTCACTGTGGTACTTCGGGGCAAAGAGATTTTCAATTTCTCTTCAGCTGGGTCTTAATCAGTTGGGTAGAACAAATGTTGAGAGGATGATTCAGGCTCCCTCTCACCAGCAGAGGGGCAAGGTGGTGTGTGGTGGGCTGGAGAAGATGGAAATGATACTTCCTCAGCCCCTTGGGTGGGGCTGGGTGACCCAGGATTCACTCTGTGATGTCATAGTGGCAGGCAGGGCTCTCCTACCTACTACCTACTCCTCCCCACCCCCCAGGAAGAAAAGGTTGGGAGAGGGACACGTTGCTGCTTTTCAAAGGCCTAAACGTCCTCTGTGGGCTGTAGATTAGCATTGCTCTCCTTGTACAGGAGAATCACCCAGGGGGATTCTCACATTTATTCAAATGTGGGCTCTGAAGATCTGGGTGGCTTCCACAGGATGCCAACCAGACCACACTGAGTTGTAAAGTCTAGACTAGTGCTTTCAAAGACAAATACAGTGTGAACCACGTACGTGAATTCTTTAGTATTCACGTTAAAAAATTTAAAATGGACACACACTGCAATATGACAACGAAATCTTACGTAATGCTCTGGTTAAAGTAGAATGCAGCACACCCGAAACAAAGCTAGATTCCATGGAAAAGATACACTACTTTCGTTTTTAAATTTAAAATTATGTGAATTAAGTAAAATTAGAAATTCACTTCCTCAGTTGCACCATCTACATCCTAAGTACTCAAAAGCTACTTGTGGCTAGTAGCTACTGAACTGGATAGCATGACTCTAGGCTATTCTCTGAAGAGGCAGCGATGTACAGGAATTGCTATTCTAAAGGACTAGTGTCTGGCAACCTAGGACACATTCACTAACACAGTTTTAAGGAGTTCCTAATTTGGGCTTGGGACCAAGTGACACCGAGGTGTAATTCTGAGGCTTCCGGCAGGGGTTGTCAGCCTCCTTCGTATTCCAGCTGTGTGGATGGGGGTCTGCAGCCCTGTGAAACATCACACCCAGTCCACCTCTGTGCCTTTACTAGGGCTCGTTCCTTGGGATTCATCCTTGATTCTTGTCTCAATACCCTGTTATCATAGCTGTTTCTGGTAGGGTTGCACAATGTGAACCTCTTTACATGAGGTCTTGAACAGTTTTTCTGCTTTAGGTGTGTTAAGAGAGAGTGTTACTCTGTTTCTCCTATGAAATTCTAAGTTGCTTGAGGCCAGAGCCTACCTTACTTCTGTGGTCCCTAGTATAGCAGTAAGGGGGTAATAGTTGCTCAGAAGAATTATTTCATTAAATGACCTAAATTACCTAAGTAGATGTCTAAGAGCGAACACTAGGTCTGAAAGTGTCAATAACTTCACAAAGCTTGGTGGTTGGACTGGGTGACCTGTGGAGTACTCTGTGATGTCACAGTGGAAGCAGGGAGAAGGACCAGGTTGGGAGGGGAACATACTGCTACCTACTGAAGCCTCAGATGTCTTCTGAGGATCCTAGATCAGCACTTCTGTAATCATACATAGGAATCACTTGGGGAGGAGGATGGACATGAGCAAAATATATTATGCACATTGGAATGCACCCAAATGTGAGACTAGGGTAAGTGGGTGATAGAGGTTAAAATTATCAAAGTATTTTATGCACATGTACAAATCTGCCAAAATCAATCCCATTAATCTGTATAACTAATAAAAGAAAGTGAAACAAGAAATGCCAACAACAAAATGAAAAAAGGGAACATACTTGAACACCCAATTTCTAACCCCCAAAACATGTCACCTGGGAGGTTATTCAAATGTGAATCCTCAGGTCTGGGATGGCCAGATACTTGATAAGAAAAGGTGGATAAATTTGACTACATTAAAACAAAAAGAAAACGCCTTGTTTTTACATGTGGATCAAGATGTCAGTTCTTTCTAAGTTCATTTATAAATTTAATGAAACCTCAATACCAACATTAATGAGTATTTTTTTGTTTTGGTTTTTTGAGACAGGGTCTCACTATATTGTTTAGACTGGTCTTAAACTCACTGTGAAGCCCAGGATGGCCTCAAACTTGCAGTGAATCTCATGCCTCAGCCTCCAGAGTGCTGGGATTACAGGTGTGTGCCACCATGCCTGGCACAACGAGCATTTTAAAGACCATGACCATTTGATATTTAAAATCAAATGGGGGCTGGGGATTTAGCTCAGTGGTTCTGCCGCCTTCTTTGCAAGTGCAGGGACCCGAGTTCAATCCCTGGTACCAAAAAAAAAAACAAAAATAAAATCAAATGGGTAAAAATGCACAAGGCCAGGTAGGAGAACTCTGAAAAGGAAGAGCTGAGGGGCAGGACTATCCTTAATAGATCAAAACCATGAGGTACTGATACATGACTAGAAAAACAGACCAATGGAACAGATTAGTCAGTCAAGAAATAAACACAGCTACATAATCCTGTAGATAAAGGTGATCTTTATTACTAGTGTCACCTCTGTCCTATATTGGAGGTCCATATGCAGGTGAAAAATATGACTCTAGATTCAATTTTCTGCATGTGGATAGCCAGTTTTCCAAATACCATTTATTAACACATTAATGAGGGGCTCATTAATGTCTCACTGCTGGGCGGCTTGAACTACCAGTGGTACATGCATGACTATCTCACTGGGTGGCTTGTCACTAATTTTATTAGTAAAAAGACCGATAAAGGTGATTAGATCTGTTTGTACCACCAGTGGTATAAGCTGAGACAGTCATGCATATACTACTGTGGTTCAAGGCAGCAGGAATGTGTTCAAGAGACTATCTTTCCTCCAGTGTACGTTTTTGGCCCGTCAAAGATCAAATAGAAGGTCAGTGGCTCTGCCGCCTGTCCTGCAAGCACAGGACCCAGGTTCGATCTCTGGTACCAAAACCCCCCCCAAAAACAAGAAAACAAGATCAAATAGAATGTACTTGGAGTTGTTTCTGCATCCTCTAGTCTGTTTCATTGATCTTCATGTCTGCTTTTGTGCCAGTACCATGCTGTTTTTATCACTGTGTAAGACCGAGGGCCTTACCAAACACTCTGAGGAGCTGACTAGTGAAGCACACCCAGGAATTGCAGCGGTGCCTTCAGAATGTAAGACCAAGAGCCTTACCAAATGCTCCGAGGAGCTGACTAGTGAAGCACACCCAGGGATCCCAGGGGTGCCTTTAGAATGCAAGACCAAGAGCCTTATCAAACGCTCCAAGGAGCTGACTACAGCGAAGAACACCCGGGAAGGAACACACCGGACAAGTTGGAAAACAGACTTTATTAGTCTGGCCAGATGGCACTCCCAAAGCAAAATAGCTTAGAGAGGCAACTGGCTCAGAATCCGAGGCTGTTTTTATAGGGGGTTGAGGGGGAAGTTAACCTATAGAGTTAAAGAAAAGGGGACAAAGGTTAGTGGTCAACTGTCACGTATTGATGGTCAGCAGACATTTGCAGCTTGTTCTAAAAATTGTGGTGCCCGGAACATCAGTTCTGGGCAAACAAGGAGTTGAGTAGTTTACTCTGGGACTTTAGGTCTGTTACAGATTTTTATCTAGTGTCCCAAAACTAACAAGCATCTTTCTCCATTAACTCACATTTAATCACAATGGGGCTGGAGAAAAGGAACAAAGGTTATGCAGTCCCACAACTGCAGCTTTGAACATAACTCCAAGTCTGGAATTGTAATGTCTCCTGTTTTGCCCGTGTTACTGAGGATTGCTTTTGCTACTCTGGGTCTCTTCTGGTTCCATATGAATTTAGGATTGTTTTCTCCAGTTCTGTGAAAAGTGCTGTTGGTATTTTGATTGGGATTGCATTAAATCTGTGCATCAATTTTGGAAGTATGACCATTTTTTTTTTTTACTGGGGATCAAACTTGGGTCCTTGAGCTTGTGAGGCAGGCAGCGGAACCACTGAGCTAAATCCCCGTCCCAGTATGACCATTTTGACTATATTGGTTCTGTCTCTCCTGGAACAGGGAATATATGTTCATTTTCTGATGTCCTCTTTGATTTCCTTCTTCAGAGTACTCTAGTATTTGTTGTAGGTCTTTCACTTCCTTAGCTTAAGTCCTAAGTATTTAATTTTTCTGTGTTATTGTTAATGGTATTTTCCCCCTAATTTCTAAATGGGCTCATTACTAGTGTACAGGAGCACTATTGATTTTTTGTGTTAATATTGTGTCTCCTTACATTACTGAATTTAGTTATTAACTCTAGGAGTCTTTTCATGGATATTTTGGTTTTTATTTGGTCTTCTGTGTGGCTGATCCTGTCATCTGCAAATAAAGATAATTTAACTTCTTCCTTTCCTATACATATCTCTTTTATTTCTTTTTCTTGCCTAATTGCTCTTGTTAACATTTTGAGTACTATGTACTCAAGGAATAGTGATAGTGGACATCCTTGTCTTGTTTCTGATTTTAGATGGAAAACTTTCTGTTTTTCCCTCATTTAATATGATGTTGGCTTGTCATAAGTGGTTTTTATCAGATTAAGATAAGATCTTTCTATATCTATCTTCTTCAGTGTTTTTATCATGAAGGATTTAGAGTTTGTCCAAGGCTTTTTCTGTGTCTATTGAGATGATCATGTGATTTCTGTCCTTGTTTCTGTTGAGCCATCTTGCATCCTTGGGTTAAAGCCCACTTGGTCATGATGCATGATCTTTCTGATGATTTGTTGTATTTTGTTTGCCAGTATCTTGTTGAAGATTTTGCATCTAAATTCATTAAAGAGTCTGGTGTATAGTTTTCTTTTTTGTTTGAATCCTTGTATGGTTTTGGAATCAGGGTAATGCTAGCTTCTAGGAATGATTTTGGGAGTACTCTTTCCCTTCCAATTTCAGAGTATTGGTGTTAGATCTTTGAAGTTTTTGTAGAATTCATCAGTGAATCCATCTGGACCTGGGCTTTTCTTAGCTGTTAGGTTTTTTTGTTATTGCTTCAATTTCACTGTCTGTTATTGAATTATACAGGGTTTTAAAATCTTCTTGGTTCAGTTTTGGTAATTCATATGTATCTCAGAATCTATCCATAGTTCCGAATTTTCCAATTTATTGGCATACAGGTTTGAAAAGTAGTTGTTAATAATCTTTTTAATTTTGGCAATAACAATTTTGATTTCACATTTTTCATTTCTAATTGCACTGATTTGGGTCTTTTCTCTTTTTGGGGAGTTAAATTGGATGAGGGTTTGTCTATTT